TCTGGTGATTCATGGCATGTGCACATTTTACGGATGTCACGACAGTACAAATTGCATTGTTAAGCATCCCTTATATGACATCATTTTAGTGTCTACTGACTGATGGCTCTGTAACCAAAAAAGATTGAAGGCTATGAAAATTATGTTTAACCTGAGCAATGATAACATTATAATAAGTAATTTATGTTGAATTTTGTACTTCTTGGAGGGGTAGTAAATAAATTAAAAATGGGATGCCTAGAGAACAAATGTCACAATTCTCATACTAGGAGAAATTCAGGATTTTTTTAAACTCTCCAAATATCTATAGGACAATTCGTATACCCGGGCTCACTGCAAGGGGGTACTCTAAACCTCTACTACATTATTAATTCTTTCCATAAGGGCATTATTTTCTGAGGATGTCATAAGGTTTTTCGGAGTTTTTTTTTAAATTCTTAATTTTATAAGGTACTAATTAACCCTCTCTGCCTAGACATCATTTACTGCACATGTAACAAGATTTTAGTGACTTACATTCAAAATTTTATTAAACTACTTATTGTTTGTGTTATACCAATCAGTATAGCTTAAAATCATAGCTTATAATCTATATTTTAATAGTATACAAGTTTTAAGTTCTTAATTTTATAAGGCGATATTTGAAAAAATACTGAATTTCCCCTAATGCGAAAAAGGTGACACATTTTCTCTAGCATCCTCTCTTGTCTATTTTATTCACCACCCCTCCAATAAGTATGAAATTTAATGTAAATTACTCACTATAAAATCATAATTGCTCAGACAAACCATAATCCTTATAGCCTTCAATTTTATTTGGTTATACAGCTATCAAATATAAAATCAAAACCCTCTTATCACACCCACATGTCACATCCTCTCTTTCAGAATTTATTAATAGTTCTCTCTTATGTTTAATTCTATAGTATCTAAAGCTAATAGAAAGCTAAGGTTTCATCTATCAAATGATGTATTATATTACGTTGTGATCTGAACAGAAAATTGTCAATTTCTCTTTTAGTACAAGCTTTATTCCCACAGAAAGGTAATGAACTTGTAATGGCTCTTGTTGCATAGTTAGAAAGCCAGAAACATTGTGATAGTTGGAGGAAATTGTCTGCTTTTTGCATGTTATTATTTTATGTTCTTTGGTGCATCATTTAATTATGTAAAAAATATTTAGTACATTACTACCATTAGTAGAAAAAAGTAGGGTTAAGTGTTGTCGACAGAAAAAAGAAGATGACCTGGGTAAGTACTTTATTTCTTGTTTTTCATATTTACTCTTTATTTATTATTATAAAAGTAACTAAAACGTAAAAATAGGGATCTCTTTAGGTTAGTTAAGTTTTGGAGAGGTAAGATAATTAAAAATAATAATACAATAAAAATATTTCATGAGCAGCTTGTGGGTAATATAATATGATAGTGTAACATGAGCTCCAGGCTCCCCTAGTGATTTAAAACTTATAATGGTGTGAATAATGTATTTAGACATGGTTCAAAGGGCAATACAACAATAAAATTTACGTATAAATAGATGAATACTGTTACGAGTTTGAAGCTACTTACGATAAATGAATGTGGTTTCATATTACAATATTAAGTCATTCTAGAAAGAAAAAAAAGGGTAATTTAGGTTTATTTCAACTTTTTTTGGTGGCTACCAGGTCGGTCAAATTTACCAACCTTGTATAAAGTTAGGGTAGAAAAAATAACATATAAAATATAGTTTTACTGAAAAACAAATCAAATCTGAGATTTTTGAGATGAAGAAAAGTGCTTTTAATCTTAACATGAAAATCACTTTGCATACGTACTATTCAAAAATAAATACTCAATATATTCATGGACAAACAGTATTTTAGTTTTTAAAAATACTTCACTACAAAATATTATTTTTTGTATGTGAAAGACTTATTATGTTAATTGAAAGACTGCCAAATATTGTGAAGATATACACACTATATTATACGTTAGTAGTATCAAATCTATAAGGACTTTAAACAAAGAGGTCATGTGGTTGGTCAAACCGATGGAGCCCATGTCGAGAAAGTTAAGCACACCATTCTTCATGTCTTACTCAATCGGGGCAAATGATTAAACAGCCTGGGCATGCATAAAAGATTCATTTGGTTTCTTATGTTTTAGCTTTCCTCTTATTTTTTTACTGACTAAAAAACATTTTCAAAGAAAAAAATTTGTATACCTGCCATGATGTAAGACAAGGTGTACATAAAAGATGACCGCACGGTTCAATACGAATGTCCTTGTCGTTTTCTGCACAGATTTTACACAACTGGAATGTTGACCCCATTTCACAATACAGTTCATACTGCTCCTGAGTTACTTTGATGTGATCCTCAGGAGTGGCCTGCACTGCCCAACTGAGATCTGGATTTGTGTTCCTCCCATCAGGATACAAGTAACTTGGAGAAAATGTTTGATTACAAATACAAAAGTCCACAAACATACACACACACATACATATATATACCGTATTTGATGGCATATAGGACGCACCCATATTTCAGCAGGTCAGATTCAGAAAAAAAAGTTTTTAGTGTATTTAAGCATATACTGGTGAAAGTAATCTAACAGCACATTACACAAGCACAAAACACTTGAACATAAACTAAAACACAGTAAGAAAATGGGGATACACTTTAATCATCTTCATAACCAGAAAATTCTTCATCTTCAAAACCAGAAAAATCTTCATCTTCGTCACTACTGCTGGAATCACTGACTTCAAATAACACATTATCTTCCGTGCCATCAAGAGCATTGCATATGCAAGCATTTCTTATTTCGTAGTTGGAATGCTGTATTGATCGTATGCTAGGATAGTAAGCGTTAGGAAGAAGATTAGCCTGCGGAAGGTCTCAACTTCGCATATTAGATGCAGGGCGATTTTTTGAGTCAAAATTTTGGGAAATAAGTGCATCCTATGTGCCGTCAAATACGGTATATATATTAATTCATGAGCTGGTATTACAACAAATATGATATTTTTCATAGCTTACTCAATTTAATGGATGGGGGAAATGATACATGACTAAAAGTTATGAAACTTGAAGCTATGTAGAATTTTTATAAAGGGTAAAAAAAATCTCATTTAAAAATCTTCAGTATATATATATTTGTGTAATATTTCCTCCTAAATAGATGAGTCAGCATTTTAAAAATAAAAGACTGGCTTTAAGAAGATCAGGAAATAGTATTATCATGGCAACTATATATCTCCACAAAAATAACACACATATAGATAGTATAAAAAATGTTATATATATTCATTTTTCTCATTGTATTTGCTTAGTGTTTTTCATACTGAACCCTAGAATGCTAACATTAAAGTTTCAATCATTAACACTACAAACAAAAAACATGTGTTCACAGTTTTATGTAATACAAATAAATGAAAATTATAAACTTCAGTGAATGCATTTATTTATCCACTGACATTAGTTATATTATTTATGAGATTGGTCATTACCCTCAGAGGATATGTAGAGCTGATGATCAGCACATAGTGGATTTTCCATACGAGACACAGTATGCGTTTGTTTTTTATCATTTTCTCATTTGCAGAAGTGCCATCACTTCCATTCAGGCGGAAGTGGTCTTCCTGAAGATGTAAAGTGACATTCCCTATTAGCCGAGAGATTTTGAATTGCAGGGATCTTGAGAGATGAATGGATTGTGAAGCCATTGTTTTATCAACAATAATGCTACTTGGTGAAGAAAAATTCACCTTGGAACTTCACTAGAACTGGTCATTGCTACATTATGCATATATATTATGTTAGCATTTATTCTTGCCATGAAATACACAAATAGGCCACTTCATTGTAGTAACATATTATTTCTGGTTTTTGTGTAGCATCATTCAGTGCTGGGGTATTGTGCATAGATGACAATAAAACCAATATTTCACTGGGTTTTGGGCAGTATGAAACTTAGGGAAGATCATGATATAAAGCCAAATAATGAAGTGCCAATTGGACATCCTTTCTTTTCTATCATTAATTGGAAGAATTTTCCTTTTATTCTGCCAAAGTGTACCAACTACTGTCAGTTGTTCAGAGTTCACAGAGTTTTTCAGAGATGAACCAATTATAAGAAAAACATTAAATCTATCACACAAGCAGACACTTAACACAATTGCCAGCTGGGGTTATGTGATACCCCACCACCCTTGAAAAAGGCAAAGAAACGAGAGAAATAGCAAACACGTGTGTCCCATGTTAGGTCTCATGGCACACTTCAAATTCATAGGTTTGCAGGAAAATACAGATTTTTACCTCGTATCGGGTCAAAGTGACCCCACGTTGGCATTCTAGGGTTAAGATTCTGCTTACTAAATAAAGCAAGTTGGCAAACTACAGTAGGAATTGTTTTCAGAACACCTGATCATTAGTTAGATATTCCCAATCAATCCTCATAGTGTCTACATAAACTTTTTGATTGAACTTATTCTGCAATAGGAAGAAACTGATCGCTAGGTTTACCCGTAATCTTGGAATACTTTATCACACAACGAATACACGTGTTTCACACTCTATCACACATATTTTTTACTTTATTTACAAACACAATATATATCATTTGTTCAGAGGGCTACTATTATGATTCCAGGTACAGAAGAATTACCTAATGGGGATTGATTAAGATCTCTTAACATACTTTCTTTTGAGAAAAGGAGCATAAAAGGTGATATTGTTGAAATTTACAAGATAATATTGGGAATCTATAGGATAAAGCCTTTGAATTCTTTGTTCTGATTTCGAAAGACAAAAAAGGATAAAAGAATGCAGGCTTAAGATATATTAAAAACATGTGGGCTCCAATTAATCTACTTTTACTTTTTTAATTGGGTGATTAGTAGAGAATGGACAGAGAGAAATCACTGATTTCTTCAAAAACAAAGAATATATTAATTTTCAGCTGGATTTTTGCCCTTTTTTAGGGTAGTTGTGCAAAAAAAGACAGAGGACCAAACTGTCCCGTGTTATTTGTATGTCATGTTACGTTTATACATTTAGCTAGCATCATATCTTGAGCTTTATTCTTCAAACGTGATAGCAGTCTACAAAATTTTTAGATGTCGGTTTACAATTATCCTTTTATGAAATCATAAGTCGCCTATCAAACAAATATGCAAAAAGAAACCCAAACTTACAAGCCTTCTCTGTATCCATCTAGGAGTGCTTGACATAAAGATTTGTTCTGAGGAATCGTCTGAAGTATTGTACCATCAGCAGTGACATACCCAATGGCCCATTGGCCAAGTCTGGTACAACTAAGCCTAAACACATAGCTAAAAGAAAGAGGAGAAAAAACCTGAAACATGGACCACATCTGTTTCTCATAAATTCAAAAAAAACAAAACTTTTTGATCATCTGATCTTCACTACTAAATTAATTACTTGCTTTTTACTTCCCTGAATAAAATATAAATATTGCATGTACCAAAAGTATACCTATTGCAATGTTTATAACAACACCCATGACAAAAAATAATACATTAATTCAATCTCACAAGGGTAATGCAATTTGTATTCATCAATTACTTTCATACCTTCCTGGTTTATTAATGTATTTTTGAAGCCTTGCTTTGACTTCATCATACGTTAGAAATGCTACATAACCATGATGCGTCACTGCAAGAATCTGCCAGTTTTGGAGGAGAGATGACCAGGGTTGAAATAACCTTGATGAAAAACGAGAAAAGAATTAAGGCACACATTAAGTAAAATTAACTGAAACATACTAGTGCCAAAAATAAAAAGCCTTTGTGGTGATAATGTAAAATGTACAATGTAATGTAAAATGTAACATACTTTGTATGTTAGCTAAATTAATGTAAAAAATAAAACATTTTTGGAACACAGTATTACCACAAAGACTAGGAAACTAGTTTTGTGATGAGTTTGAAGAATAATAGTTCTCAGAATACATATTTGGTGAATTAGACCTTCCTGATCATGTTCTTTACAAAGAGGATATTCTTCCAGGTCCTTTTATAATCATTATCAAAAATATGATATTACATTCAAAGTTTTATATTGTTTAAGGAAGAAAACTGTTGTTAGAGAAATGGACACAAAATTTACACTACAATAACCACAAAATCCATTCAAATTGAAAGGTGTTGTTAGAGAAATGGACACAAAATTTACACTACAATAAACACAAAATCCATTCAAATTGAAAACTGTTGTTAGAGAAATGGACACAAAATTTACAATACAATAACCACAAAATCCATTCAAATTGAAAACTGTTGTTAGAGAAATGGACACAAAATTTACACTACAATAACCCCAAAATCCATTCAAATTGAAAAGCGAGTTGTATTTCTAACGTTTTCTAGTTATGGTATTTTTATATCAGGTTTGTATCATTCAAATGTAACCTAAATTATAATAAGGGAAATTTTTCAACCTACATGTATTTGTTACCAGATTAAAAAAAAAAAAGGGTTCAACTAACATGATTAATAACTTAAGATTCTTATCTAGTTTTGATCATTTGTATTATTAATTCTTTTGTTGTTTTAATTATCATAATATACATACATTTTGGATTTTGAAGTACGCTGACATTCTTTTTGTAGGGATTACTGTTTCAATTATGCATAAATGTACGAAGAATGTTTCAACTTTTGATTTTATTGTTAAGGAAGTGACATGATTTCCTGGTCACTACAAATTTTGTTTGACATCACGTTGAACTTACGAGCCTACATTTAACAAAAGATAGCAGCACCAGAACTTCACCCAAACTTTACAACAAAAAATAATCTAAACTGAAAACATTTATTTAATATACATGTAAGTAAATTATTTATATCTTAGTGAAAGTACTGTTTGCAACATACCTTGTAAAAACATCAAATTCAAAATTGGATATGAAGTCATTGCAAGTTAAATCAATAGTAGATTTGAGTGCCATAGCTTCCAAGCCAGAGCTGATTGGGTGAACTTGATGCAGGGATTGTCTAAATATCTTCCATGGAACAATTGTTCTGGAAAAGTAATTATTTTATCACACGGCGGTTATTTAGATAATTCAGAGCTACAGTCACATCTATTCACTAAAGCAGTGCCATTATCACATCAAATTATATCTTACAAGAGAAATGCAAATGAAAATACAAAAAAATTAAAAGCTGCAAACTTAACATCTGAATATTACGAACGATGTGCTAATGTTCCACTACTATATTTGTAGACGTTCGGCTCTAACAATCCAAAACATTAAAGTTTACAATAATACATTTTTTGTTTGAGATACACCAAAATACACTGAATGCCACTTATTGTGATCACTTTGGGACACAGATGTGTTGATAACAATAACTGAATTATAACGTTAACTGATGAAATAGAAATTTGGCAGTTACAGCAATGTTTATTGATATAGGGTAGCAAACATATTACCTAAAGGTTTGAAATATGGATTTTTACGTTTATTGACAGAAAAACAATTAAAACAAGAATTAGAAAAATAAATTTAAAGTCGATTGTCTACTATTTTCTCGGAGCAATTCATTAATAAAACTTTCATATTCCTATTGTTTATGAAACTCGCCTGATCTGTGCTGTACACTGCTTTCTGTCACATCATTTGTCCGTTTACACGAGCATCTTGTTCATGTAAACCAAAGTTTTAACGATCACACTAAGTAACTGTTTTTTTTTCAACTAGAATTACTCAATGTAGAATACACATGGAACACCAAGAGTAATTAATGGAATTTAGTTCAATATTGATAGTATTTTTGTATAAACCTTTGGAGAAACTTGTACATTATTATGGCTCTAACTAACAGTCATGAACTCACAAGGAATGTTGTATATAAATAGTTGACAAAAATATAACACTACTGGTAATTGCATATGTTGTACATAAACTTATTAGGCTTAGAAATATGAGTATTAAAGTATGTACCCTCAGAGTAATGTCTAAGTAGCTCATTTACGAAGTTGATGTCAAATTCAAACCAGAAAGTTGGATTTCATTAAATATTATTTAGAGTTATAAATATCAAAAAATGTTTGTTGAATATAACTTCTGAAAAAGACTTAGACCAAATCAATTATGTCATGAAAATGATTAACTAATCCAAATATTGCAATTATAATTTCTGATTATTTTCAATTATTCCAACTATCCGACTCTAATGCAGGAATAATCAACTAGTTCAATGTAATCAGCTACATTCAAGACCAAACATCATAAAATTTTCTACTAAAGTTGGACAGTCCGGAAACTGATTCCATGGAATATTTAGTCAAAATAACTCTGCAGGAATGAAATATTTCAATATCAGAGTTGTATCATTGCTTCGACCCAGAAAAATTAAACCATCTACAAGGTGGACTTTAAGACTCCTATAATAATAATAAATAAAAAAATATATGCATACTTAACCTGTATTTATAAACTTAACAAACATTTTATAAAATAAGTTTAAGATTTTAAGTCAGCTTATAGTGTTGACCAACCGAAACACCGCAGCAAACTTTCACCACACTTGCAACATGGGACTCCGAGGTATATCGAACCCTGAATCTAAGACTTGCCTTCTCACACATGCTTTTTTCGAACAACACTGACATTAGCAACTTTGAATTTCAAGTTTTCATGTACTATATTTTGTATATAAGTTTCAGAAAATAAATTAGATAAAATTAATTAGTGAGTAATGGCAATTATCTATGTTCATATTGTACAAATACTAACAGAAGACAGGCCAATCTGAACTTTGACAAAACTTCCTTAAAAACTGAGCACAAGCAAAAATGAAACTATGAAAAATATCTTCTGTCTGTTTATAAAAGTAAAATCATGATTAACATGTGAATGTCACACTAAAGAGATCTTGTTCATAGCGTAGAAAAGGACCACTAGACTAATATGAATGATATAGTATACAGACAAAGAATCTCATAGTAAAGTGACTTAATAAACTTATGAAACTGATGATGACAAGTCAACTTGTTGAAACATTGTGATTTGTCATTCACCTTCTTGTAGAGCTATTTTTATAAGATTATTTAACAAATCTTATAGTTTCTGTCTTTGCAATTTCTGTTGAAAGCAGTTATGGAACTAATAAGTCAAACCTCTAACTTTATCAAACTTTTCCAGAAAGTGAAACATATTAATATCCATTTCTCAGTCCAAGCAAGCAGGCTTAAAAAAGCCTTTGTTAAGACTAAGGGATCATAATGAAAAGCTCTTGGCATAAAACAAAATTTGACAAAATTTAACTGCCAAAAAAAAAAAAAAAGACAAAAGAAAGAATGAAAGGCAGTGTCGGTTTATAATGAAAGAACGAAACATGGAGACAGTTTTTTTATTCATATTTTGTGATAATGGAAGATATATAAAATTGACCAATTTTTTTAACCCTCTCATAATGGTCATGTTATGACCTTTTACAGATTACCTTCAAAATATAATTAATATACTTTATTATCAATGTAGACAAATATACTTGGCATTTAAATGTAGTTAATAAGGCAAGCTCTAATATTATGAAACTTTTTAAGTTCTTAATACTATAAGGTATGCCAGAAAAAAAGTCCTCAATCTTCCCTGGTATGAGAATCACAACATTTATTCTCTAGGTGTTCCTACTTCTCTATTGTATTTACCACACCTCTCTAAGTACAAAATTTAACGTAAGTTACTCATTATAACATACATGTTACTAAGGTAAAGTCTAATCTTGTTTATGGAGTGATAAACTAGAAAATCAGATCCACTTGCCACACCCTCTCTTTCACAAATTGTCAGTACTTCTTTCTGACATTTTACAATATACTATTTATAACCAATTTACAGGCAACGTTTTAATCTAACAAATGATGTATTATATTACATAGTTTTCATTGCATATTATCCGTTTCATCTTCAGTTTGAAAGCTTCTCTTGCAATGTTCAGATTGATAAGCTTTGGGAATTATTATATGGGTGCTATGCTACAGTTAGATAGCCGGTTCAATTATGATAGTTATAGGATATTGTCTGATTTGTGCATGTTATTATCCTGGGTTCATAGCTGCATTATGTAAGTAAATAAATGTTATTTAGTGTATTAGTATCATCATTATAAAAAAAAGTAGGCTTAAGTTTCACTGACAACCAATAGCAGAAAGACAAGAGATCAAACAAAAGTACCATATTTCATGTTTTTCGCACAATTATAAAATTAAAGTAACTAAAATGTAAAAAATTAGAAACTTATTAGGGTAGATGACATTAGATTTGGTAAGATAATGAAAAATATTAAAAATTCTTCATGAGGTATGCTCAAGAGCAGCTCGGGCGGCATTACGTCATTGAATACTGTAATGTGAGCTATGTGTTTGCCAAGTGATTCATAACTCATGTGGTGGAATTATGGGTTAGTCACAGTTAGAAAGGCAATAAAACAATAAAATTAAGTACCAACAGATGTAGACTGTTACACACCTTAAGTTATTTAGGATAAAAAAAATTGTAGTTTCCTGTTACAATCTGCAATCATTCTAGAAAAGAAAAAAAAACGGGTAATTTAGATTTATTTCATACTTTTTTATCTTGACTACAAAGGTGGTCAAACTGACCGAATACATATAGAGTTAGGGTAGAGAAAATAACATGTAAAACATAGTTTTAATGAAAAAAAAAGTTTGATATTTATTTCAAATATTTCAGAGATTACACAAATGAGTGTGAAGAAAAGTAATTTTTAATCTTAACATTGAAATCACTTTACACTTTGAGCAGTCAACAATTTGACTCCATATACTCACAGACAAATTTTTAGTAAAAATACTTAATTAAAAAACATTTTTTTTTTTGTCTACAAAAGATTTTTAATGTTTACTGAAATCTAATTAATTTCATTAAGATACACAAAATATATTAAAAGTTATAGAAACTCTAATGGTCTCAATGTTGGTGTAATCCACTGAGCCCATAAACAAGGGCTAAGCAATTCAACCTTCTGCCATGATGATGATGATGTATTGGCCAGAGTACTTTTGTTAACATAGAGGAAAATCCACACAATTATAGATTTACACAATGAAAAACATCCAACTTTTCTTGCCCTTACACAAAGGAAGGCTAGGAAACTCTGACAGAGAGCTTGCAGCAAGCTTTAATGTCTTCATTTCCACATTCAACCACACTGTAATGATGTCAAATTTCCCTTACTTCATATTGGGATCTTTGCTATTATGGCCTTCACATGAAAAAGTTAATACTACAACGATTCACATCTTTAAAGAAACCTTTCAAAGACATGTGTTGTAATTAATTGTATAAGCGTAAAATGCAGAGACCATTCAGTCTATAGCTCAGTTCAGAAATATTCTATCATCACTAAGGCTATTAAATTTTCAAGGGGCTGGTTGGTACTACACATTTCTACATTGTGACATTTCTTATCATTGTTACCTTGACTTATTTCAGAAATGGAAATAACAAGAATATATAAAACATTTAAGTTTACTGGAAGAAGGAAATGATGTTATGATTGCCATTGGTTTTTTTTAACCGATACCTCGTTAAATGAATGTGAGCAACCTTATTAATCCCATCATTCCTACCTCAGAAGGATTCAGCTGAAGTAATTCATACACAATCCACTGCAAATTTAAGGATCCATTACGAAGGATCAGATGGGTAAAAAATTTAATTTTATTTCAAGCATGATTCCTCTTTCATTGGTAAGCATTTTAAACCAAATTTCATCTTTATTATGCTGTGTGATAATGAAACTTTCAAAGGCCACTGTTCCACTTTACACATTAAAGCCTTTGAGTTATTGTTTAAACTTTTAAAGGTTTTCTCTTGTGGAAATATTTTACTGCAAATTTTCTAGATTAATGAGATAAATTATACGAATGGTACTGATGTAGACCATTATTTTTGTAAATAAAAGTTGTTGCAATAACATTATATTTCACAAACTAGTATTGTCAAATTATCAATCAAGAGATATTGCTAAATGCACAAGTTCTTATAAAAACAAAAAGAGTTCATAAGAACTTTTGTACTGATAGTATTTGTATAAAAAAAAATGTCAGCAGTTTTACTGATCACTAAGAAGTTAAGCTTTTCAGTAGTCTCTACCCAAGTTTTAGTTATAACCAAGTTAAAAATAACTGTGAATATATAATTTCCAACTGATTTCTTTCTTTTTCAAAATTCAGTACAAAGTTATCATAAAATTGCTTTTTATTAAATATACATTAATAAACATTGAAGCTATTAATGTAGTCCAACATATTGCTATATATATATTTAAAAAAATAAAACACATTCTACAGGTTTTTCATGCGTTGTGGACCATCTCTTACCATTAGTTATACATACAAAAAAACTATACACAACCACATAGACAACACATACATTGAGATAACTGACTAGTTTATAAGTCACCTAGAACTTGTTTTACAGAGTTTGTTGCTTTTAGACAACACCCTTTAGTAGAATGTCATCTTATCAAAACAAAATATTTTTGTCCATTTGTAGCAGAATCAATTATTACTTGCCAGGTAAAATTTGCAATGTTATATATATTTACAAACAATTACTTAAGTAAACAGAGTTTAATTTTTAAAACTAAACTTACTAAACCATTACTCAAATTCAAGTCTTTAAATCATCATTTCCAATCGAAAGATTGCACTTCAACCCACTTCATTCACGGATCATCAACTCATGTAGGTGTTGTAGTTACAAAGCTACTTACACCGGAAAAATCAAATGTCATTTAACTGTACATATCCATGAACATATAGAAATATCCTACAGTACTGCATCTCTGCTATCCACACAAAGTCAAACTACTGGATACAAAATCCCATAAACAGACTTTAAAGATTTAGCTAAGAGCCATACAGAACCTATTTATTAAATAAAATTTCCCTACATCTCTAATTAAGGAATCCTCATGCTGCTCAGTGGTTAAGTTGATAACAGCATATTTAATACACAAATACATGATTTAGTATAACAATTTAATAAAACATTAAATAAAATGATTGCATTTAAATAATATCTACGTGTTTCAATTGGGCCACCCAGTCATCCCGAAGAGAACACTAAGCTTACTTTTCTTGCTCTACATTTTTCTCATTATGTTCCTTTCGAAGTAGCGAAGGCAAGCACCTTACAAGAGTTTAAAATTGGAATCAATATTTTTCTTAAAAAGTGAGGGGTGGCAAGTTTAAATTTCTGCTTTTCCCAAGAGTAAGTGTAAAAAACAGCCTTGAAGTACGGGGCACCATAGAATTATAAATCCTGGTAACGGAAGTACTTGAAAGCAACATCATAGCTGTGAATATATAAATCTCCCATATACAAAATACTAATTATTGTACAACAAATAATCCATGCTGAGTATACAGGATTTATTTCAAGGCAAATGTACTCCCACTTGTTGTATATTGGCTTTAAAAAATTTGCAATGATTACTAAACCTTCCCTGCACCATTTGACAACAACAAGCAAGCAAATGTTAACACCAAAAAGGGGTATCAGATAAATTTGCTAAACTTTGAGCTGGGCAGTTTCATTGGATCTAGGAGCATTTACTATTTAAAAACACACATACAAAATTTATATCAATTACATTATGACATGACGTAGAACAGGTAGAGTTAACTACTGTTACGTATCTGTCAATCACAGTATTTCAAGTTTATAACCAATGTGATTACAAAATCTCTCCCATACTTTCATGGGTATACAGGTAAGCTCATACATCATTTTTGATATCTGATTGTTGAAATTTTCATTTCATTTAGTCATATGATACGAGTCCACATGTATGAGTTTGAAACTGATGGATTCTATTGCGACTACATTTTATCTTGCCTTGACACAGGTTTCACGCAGTCTCAGGTTACCGGGTAAAATGATAATTTTATATTAATCACAGATATTTTGTTAACATTGTTCCAATGGAAAGGTCGCATGGTGCAAACGGTCGATTTACAGGTACGACCTCTTAATTGTTTTTCAGTAATTATTCACTACATAGCTGAACTTGTGGCGTATATCTACTACTTTTGACTGTGGAATCCAATGGTATGTGAATTTGTTAACTTAAACAATTTGATGTGTATATAAAGTTTATCCTTTCCAATTCCATACTAAAACGGTTTGCATTGATTTAATATTTATCATTCAGTATAAAGAATTTTTTACTTAAAGTTTTATCTGGTTATTTAATTATTTTAATGGTTATTTTTATACTTAACTGATACAACAAAGAGTATGACTAAAGTCTCCCCACCCTATTGTATTGGGTAGTTACTAATAGTAATACTATGTTTGAGTATGACTATAAGCTAAGTCTGTATCACAAAAAAATGTCTAATTTCAAAATCATACCTTTCTCCAAAGCAACTTTTCCAAAATTCTGCTGCATCACTTTTTGTTATTCTAAAGGTATCACCAGCAAAATTTCCATTTGGATAAATTGCTTTTAGCTCGGATAACATGTGACTAAAAACCAAACTTAACTTTGTCATGTTTCTTCTGTAGTGCGAAGATTCATCAAACATTTTTTCTTTTCCTTCTTTAAATAACTTTATCGCCTGTTTACACTTCCGATTTAAATTTTCAATAAAAATCCTGAAATACTCATTGTCATTTAACACGTGCATGCGGTCTTCATGTTTCCCATAGATTAGTCTTAAATGTTGGTATGTGTCAGGAACAATGTCTAAAATGAAAGGGGGGCTGTTTTTTAAGTTCATCTTCGGATGTTGACACAATTTAACAACTTTGTCCATTAATTTCCATGTTTTCTCAATAGTTCTTCTATCTATCACAAATTTAGGCGGTGCCATAGCTTCTGAAAACGCCCCATGAAGGCGACTAAAAAGTGAAGAAATATTCATCGTCTGTAGGTTCCTCGATCTGTTATTCACCGCCATTTTACCATTCGGATACTAACAAGCTACTTGCCAACTTGTGTGGGAGGTGACAGGAAGCCCATCATGCCTTGAGAGAAACCCAATCATTTCCGGAATTTAAAATATTAAGATTTAACTTGTTTTATTTTTAGTTATACAAATCTTTAATAAAATATTATAAAAATAGTTTCCAATACACTTTTAATAAAATTAATAAATTATTGGCGCGTAAAAAAATATTCAACTTGTTTCGTTAGACTTAGTCCTAGGCTAAATAATATTAACCAGGCTAAATTTGACGTAAGCTGAGTTCGCCCATAATGGCGACTACTGCAGACGCGAATGATGAAACGTTTTGGTAAGCAAATTTCAATTGATGTTAAGATAATAAGGTGTCTAGCAAAAATATTAGGGGTTCATATTTTGGTCCAGATGCTAAAGAGCATACTTAAAAATATGCATCTTTCTTGTTGTTGTTTATAAGGAGGATATGGTTGTTGAGTAGCCAGTAATAAGTAAGTCTTAACTAATAGTAATATTAGCACTGGTAGTAGTAATAGTATTACTAGTCTAGTCTTTAATGTGAGTAAGAAAGTTTAAATTTGTCAGTCGACTCAGTATAATTAACATAAGTTCTTAGAATATATATTGATATAATATGATTAACTATCACTGTGTTAGACGTTACTGCCAATACTGGTTCAAATGTAAATTGTAAGTTCAAGTAGCCTATTGGTGTTGCCGTAATACTAATACTAGTGTTACTGTGTTCGACGTTAGCTTAAGTATTGATATTAAATTAAGTACTGTTTATTTTTAACTCACTCAGTCATATTCTGATTATACAATAAGTTGAGATGTAGGCCTATGTATGTCTGTGATTATGCATTTGACAAGGTGCCACATAAATATGATAACCAAATTTCCAATGAAAGACATGGACTTTTTTTTGTATGGAGTGACATTCTACTTGTAAGTTGTAACAGCTTTGAAACAGTTTTAATAACAATAATTCATTTTTCACCATTTGCTAAGTAATTTGATGTTTATTACATCACTTTTTAAAACCATAGACAAACATAATTTGTTAAAAACTTGTGTTGATAAAAATAATTAAGAAAAAATGCATCTAAGTTATTTCGTTGAACCTACTCAAAAGAACATTGTTTCTGATCAAGGCAAAAAAAAAGGGCTAAAAACTGGGAGAATCCCAATAAAATTGTTTTCTCATGAAAAAAGAGATCTGATTGAAGTGTTGGTAATTGTTAAGAGAAGTGATAGTGTCGATTAAACTTTATTTTCATTATTAATGGTGAAAATGATAGGAAACGGAGTCACAATTTATATTTTGGCATGTTAGGTATCATCTTCATCTAAGAAAATTTTAATTTCTAACAGGATGGTTGATCTTTAGAGTGAGTTACCTTCAGATGTAGAGGGTGAAGTAAGTTAAATAGAAGGCTTCATAAATATATAAATGACAAGGGCTGTTGTGGGTTTATTTTTGTTTAGTGTAGTGAAGGGGACAATGTCGATGGGCCAAAAGACCCTTTTTTCCCTTAAATGTTAAAATTAGAAAAACATGTGGCACATTTAAATATTTTTTGTGGTTGTGAAAATCACAGAAAAACAAAACTGCCCATTCTCTTCATGGATCTCACTCAGAACCCTGAAGAAGAATTTTGATTATTTATTATTCTAAACCTTGAATTCGACAATTCACATTATTTACTTCAATGAAATTGATAGCATCATAATTAGTAAACCTGTATTTCTAGCAGTAATAAGGATAAAATCATAAATCATATTCAATGTTAAAACTGGTACACAATTAAAAACATTTGTATTTAGGCCTATCTATGGCCTTCAAAAAGTTGACGACTCTACATGTTTCGACATTGCAACGTCATCTTCAGGATGAGTTGTCAATACATTAAATAAGTTTGGAATTATAGAATTCATAGTAAACATTAGTTTTTCAGTACAAGCTAGGTCCAACATACCCCGTGTACATAGAGTTGAAACATATTCATCCACCTCGTTTTATAATACCTCAACATCCTAAATGCAGCTAGAAATACTCCAGAGTTTAAAGTCACCAGCAAACTATATTAATTTTATATCTATGCACCTATCAGTATCATTAATGTAAATAAGAGAAAGCAAATTCTCAACTACTGATGCCTGAGGTACTCCACTAGTTACAAAAGTCCAGATTGACTGGACTTCATTGATTATAGCCTTTTGCTTTGTTTCCCATATAACCAGCTTCAATCCAAATAACTAGTCTTTCACAATTCTTTACTGATGTGAATTTCTTACCTAAAAGATAAGTAAAATAATATTTCTGTTTGGTAAATTCATGTTGGCTTTCATTCAGAATGTATGATTTTACAAAGTTTCTTTCATCAGACTCTACAGCTATTCCAGCTACAGAATTAGTTCTGAAACTTATGAGTGAAAGTAAAGAAGAAAATGTTAACCACAATAACTTTTGTGTAATTTCCAGGCAACACTTGTCACCTCATAAGCAAGTCTCTAATCCTTGGGCACCTGCCCAATCATTATTGACCTGCAAAAACTATATAAAATCACAAATATGATATTTGACCTTCTTCAAAACCCTAGGGAAAGTTTTTTTTTCTGCCACGTTTGGTTTATTCACTTTTTCCTAATATCCACCTAGGATTTCTAATATTGATTCAATTCTAGTATTTCCCGTAGTATGTTCAGGGCCAGGAATATTGCTACAATCTTTTCTTATAATAACAGAGGAGGAGAAGACATTTAAAAGTAAATTCTAGTGTCAGTCCTCTAAAATTGAACCAAGTTTCAGTAATTCACATTATATCAGTTTTCACCTGTTTTGTCCCTGATACTCCTCAAATTACGATAACAGTAACTATTGTGTTTCTAAAATCTTACAGATTTGTCTGTAAAACCATTACTTAACTTGGTTTGAATTTTCTCTTTTTCCAAAATCCCAAGCTTGCCTTTTACTTTATTCCCAAGCTCACTCACCACTACAAATTTTGCTCTAAGCACATCCTTGATAAATTTTCCTGCATTTAGTCCGAGGGAATACTCCGAAAAGAACCACAAGTCTTTTTCTCTTCCAAAGCCTCTAAAGCTTGATCAGTTATCTTCAAGAAATATGACAGTTCCCTTAACTTCTATAACTTAATTGGTCATCCTCAAGAAACATAACAGTTCCCTCTACAATTTAGTCATATTCAGAAAATGTGACAGTTTCCTTAGCCCCTACAATTTAGTCAGTCATGTTCAGAAAATGTGACAATTTCCTTAGCCCCTACAATTTAGTCAGTCATGTTCAGAAAATGGTACAATTAAGCTTCATATGTATCAATCTATGACAATTAAACCACATTAAAGAATGGGATCCATTTTATCCATTTGACCCGATTAATGATTAATATAGACTAGGAGTGGTACTTGTCACTCTTTTCAGGAAAGCTACAATCTTATTGTTGCTTTTCTCCTGTCTATAAGAGATTTTCTGATTCCAACACTGAGTAAATGAACAACTTTTGTTCATACCTCACTTAAACAAATCTATGTGGTTTTTTTGTTCTGGTTGTTTTTTATGTTAAATCTTATGTTTCCATGACATTTGTAATGCCAGCTTTATCTAGGGTCAGTAGAAAATTGTTTACACTTTGGAAATTTAAGCATAATTATAAGATAAAAAAGATTTCAAAAATAAATCTTGATTTTCTCGTACTTCTTTTCTTCTATTTGTAGAAAGGAGATATAGTGGTTTTAGCAAGTTAAAATTTTTTTTCTCTTTTTATGTTCAATGATAAAACAGAAATCAAATGATTTTTTTTCCAGGATTTTAGAACTTGAAAGCTTACTTCTAACTGATTGTGACCTTGATGATATTCGGAAAGTCTGTAATGGGAAGGCAGTTCCTGAAAATCTCCGAAGCGAAGTTTGGTTGGTAAGACAAGCAGTCTTATGTTCAGGTTTCCAAGGAGTTTTCTACAAAAAATGGATAAAAAAATTATTAGGCTTTTTAAATTTTGAGTAAAATTAGATATATGTAATGTTTGAAAGTTTTAGTGATTGCCAATGCTAGAATGTGCAGTTCAGGGATTCCCAACCTTTTTGTTCCTCTGTACCCCTTGGCCTTGGGCATTCTGACAGATAGGTTCTCAAGTACTCCTAAAAAATTGATAAAGTTATATTGATTTTATGTTATTTTATTATGAAATCTGTATGTGTGGACTGCATAAGGATCTTATAGTATCGATAAATTGAACTCACTCGGCATATATTTATGTGAGTCACTTTGCTCTCTTTGTCTGATTGTAGATTAAAACACCATATAAAGTGTAAACCATGGTTATACTCTCACACCCCTATGTACCCGCCTGAGAAGTGCAGATCTACCCCAGGTTGGGAATGCTTGGTGCAGGTGATAACCACAAAATATTAATTGTTTAGAGATATACTGAATAGACTAGATAAATAATCATTTATGATAATTACAATTGTTCCTTAAAACCCTGATAAGATATGGATTTTTAATTTTGTATAATATGTCAGGTTGTGTAAAAAATATACTTGTATATGTACATATTCTTCATTTAAGGTTAAATTAGTACAAAGAAGGTAATTTTCCATTTTAAAATTACAGGTGTGTTTAGGCTTAAGAGGCAAAGAAGAATATACTAAAGTAGGTGATGAAATTTATGATCTTCCAGAACAGACTACTATTAGAAAAGACTGTCAAGTTATTGTTGGTGAGTGGCTATTATTAATATGTATGTCTAAACAGATTGAACATGAATAAATCAGGTTAAGTAGTTAGTCCATGTGTTTGTCCATGTTCAGTAAAATCAGATTTCATTGTTGGGTAGATTATATGTTCCAAATTTATTGTTTTGTGGTATTATTGCCTTTTTTTTAACTGTTAATAAATTTCTAAATGTATGCCTTTACCTGTGAAATAATTACCATAATTATAGTTTTTAAAAGTTTGAGTAATTGTGTGCACAGTCACATGGGTTTAATATGTAATGCTCTATTTTTTATTTGTTTTCTTATAATGCTGAATTTAGCATTTGACTGTAACTGTGTATTCTGTAGTAGTTTTTTTAATGTTCTGTAATTTTATAGACAGGTTGGGAAATGAAGAGGAAGATAAATTATCAGTAATAAGTGACTTGGAGTCAGTGCTAACAAAATACAGTAAAACAACTGGAATCAGTTATTCTTCGGACAATGGATGGTTAGAAGTTCTTGAACCTTTACTTTCTCTACGGCTGCCAAGTTCACAGCTCTATGAATATTTTCGAGCCATTCAAAACACCTACATTCCAAAGTAAGTTAGTGTAGCAAACGGTATTTTTGCTAACTCTTGAAATTTCTGTATCGGTAAATATGCAGAAGTATTTGGTCATTTCTGTTTGTATTTGATGACAATGCATCACTTCCATGTTTACACTGACCCTAGAACAGAAATAATGTATTGTAAACAAATGATATGTTTTCTTTATAAACTTTGTCCTCTCAGTGGCTCAGCAGTAAGTCTATAGGATTATGAGGCTTAAAATCGAATTTCATTACCCGAGTTGGGTAGAGCACAGATATATATATAATGAAGGGACACAAGTATTAATTTAACTATTCAGCCTTAAGACATACTAAACTGACACTTAAGTGGATTTCAGTTTATTTAGAAGATATGTATTTGCTGTGTTTGCAACTGATACTGTTATATTATAAACTGAATATTAAAGTAGTTTATATATACTTATGAAACATTTGAAAACATCTTTTGTTAAAAAAAAAAAGCAGTGGTAATAATAATGGCTGTTTGTACATTTTAGATACTGTGGTGCAGATGGTCAGCTATTTCACATGCTGAGGCTCTTGTTGCTGTACCATGACCCACATCTCTGCTCTCTCCTTGATACCAAGAAGGTTACCCCTGATTGTTATGCCTCACATTGGGTTAGTACACTGGTTCTCAGATTTTTAGGCTGTTTATCTAACTGTGAAGTGGCATGTTTCTAGCTGTTTCTTTATCTAAATATGAAGTAGCATGTTTCTAGCTGTTTCTTTATCTAAATATGAAGTTGCTTGTTTCTAGCTGTTTGTTCGTGATGAAGATGTTCAAGTTTCCTAACTTCTAATCACCATAAAACATTTCAGTGTTCTTTGGTACATCCAAGAGGGGTTTGGGGGGTTCTTTGGCACATCCAAGAGGGGTTTCAGGGTTCTTTGGTACATCCAAGGGGGATTCTAAAACCCCTAATTTTCCTCATATTTCATTTTTGTTTGTTTGACAACCATTTCAGTTTTCCTTCCCCCATGCTACTGCTTTAGTGCTGGTCCCACCATTCATATGAAGTCTGTGAAATGGATGTCTCATTAGACACTTGTACTTTTTATATTACAGATTTTATACTGAGTTATTGCCCATTTACTGGTATATATGACCCTGTGTGATCACTTGCATATTTTATACTGAGTTATTGCCCATTTACTGGTATATATGACCCTGTGTGATCACTTACATATTTTATACTGAGTTATTGCCCATTTACTGGTATATATGACCCTGTGTGATCACTTGCATATTTTATACCATATTTTGCAGTGATATTTACAGAGGTAAATAGAGAGGATAGCTAATATGTTGGCATAAAAAAAATATGGGCAATTTCTTTAAAATGTATCTATATATATTTATATGTGTGTTAAAAATTTTAAACAAGGACTAGAGTTAGCTTCAGTTTTTAACATCTCTGTATGATTGAAGAGGGAAAAAAAATAGTAAAAAGCAAAATTTCTCAATACATACAAAGACCTTGCTAATAATAAAATGGTGTGGTAAAAGTATATGTTCTATTTTGTTCAGGAAATTTTTATTTAAATTGTTTGTATATGTATGGATTGTTATGTTTCTCTATTGACCATACATGACCACTTTGACCCTCACGGCTTGTGCACAAAACACATTTGTTCAGATGTGTTAACATGTGAAATTTTTTAAAGTAGATTATCTGTGTTATTTGTATAGAGCAGATGATTATCTAAATATTCCTTTGAAGCGATTGTACTCGCAAGCTTATATGTGTAGATGTAGTTAATGAATATTGAAATTTAGAAGTTAAATGTTTTAAAATTATTTTATCTTGGCTGGTGAAAATGAAACCTTAACTATAATGCAATTAAATACTTCAGTATTTTAATTTGTTGAGTTCAAATGAAACTTAACTGTATGTGTCAAAAACCCAAAGTTTATCTACTATACCTTTAGTCTATACAGATTTTATATTGTTGGAAGTCTTTCTTTCTATCTCTTTGTTGGTTTTTTTTAGTACATTGAAGAAATTAGAATTGACAAAAATACTAAGTAACATTATTTCAATAATACAGCAATGAGTATAGTTAACAACTGACATATAAACAAGAATTATAATCACTGTAATATTTATAGTTTCGTAGCTTGTTTTCTGCAACCTGTAATTTGGAAGTGACACTGGCCATGTGGGATATCTACTTTCAAGTTGCTGACCCATTTTTAATCCTGTTTCTTAGTCTCGTTATTCTAGTCAATGCCAAGTAAGTCTTTTGTTTTCCTTCTAAAATCTCTCTCAGTTGAAGTAAAGTATAGACGTTAAAAAAGAACTTTTCAAAAGACCTAAGTTATCATTGATGATGTTTGTATGTATGTAAATATGTGTTATAACTTTTCAAAAGACCTGAGTTATCATTGATGATGTTTGTATGTATGTAAATATGTGCTATAACTTTTCAAAAGACCTGAGTTATCATTGATGATGTTTGTATGTATGTAAATATATGTTATAACTTTTCAAAAGACCTAAGTTATCATTGATGATGTTTGTATGTATGTAAATATGTGCTATAACTTTTCAAAAGACCTAAGTTATCATTGATGATGTTTGTATGTATGTAAATATGTGCTATAACTTTTCAAAAGACCTAAGTTATCATTGATGATGTTTGTATGTATGTAAATATGTGTTATAACTTTTCAAAAGACCTGAGTTATCATTGATGATGTTTGTATGTATGTAAATATGTGTTATAACTTTTCAAAAGACCTAAGTTATCATTGATGATGTTTGTATGTATGTAAATATGTGCTATAACTTTTCAAAAGACCCAAGTTATCATTGATGATGTTTGTATGTATGTATATTTGCACGTAATGACATAAAACATGTTATTATGTCAGTAGTGACCACCATATATGTTTTTTGTTTTCACATTAGTTAGCTTTAAGTCTGGAAATTTGACAACTTATGAAATATGTTTGATATTAAAATACTGTTTTTATCCTTTCATTGGATATTTCAGAACTTTAGCTTATTGATATAGGTGGTTCCTGTTCTTTTTTTTATAATCTCCAGGAAGAGCAAGAGAACATAGTGTTGTAATAATTTGTGCTTTGTAGTTTAATGATGAATGTTTAATTGATTTTCTCGTGGCATTTAATTAATATCAGTATTACACCTTTTGAACAGTTACTTATTATTGCAAAACAAAGATTTTTTACTACATGTTTCAAGCAGTTGTTTGGATCGTCATCAAAATGTATTTGAAACGTGTAGTAAAATATCTTTATTTTGTAATGATAAATATTGTTGCAATCACTACATTTCTTTTGAAGTTGTGCTGCTTTTTAAAACTATTTTCTGATAAAAAAAAAATTTCGTTGGCCAGAGAACAGATTTTAACAATGAAGGAAGAGCCAAGACATGCTTTAATAGGTGAGTTGATAAACATTTCAAATGGTTATATTAATAGGGAAGAAATAAATAAATGGGCATTCTTGATCAGGCCTAAAACTTGGATTTAAGTCGAGACAGCCATAGTGTTTGAAAATTAGAAGTGCTTTAATATATTTCTGGTCCAAGTGAATATGAGTATTCAGCTCCGACATGTGGAAAAAATATAATAATATTGGAAGGAGAATAACATAAGGCTTACTATGCACTTCAAAAAAATAAATATATATATATAATAAAGTTGATTGTATGAGACAAGGTCTTTAACTCTTTTTGCCACATGTATCTTTTACTGCACGTGACACAAAGTTTTAGTGTCTTACATTCAAAATTTTAATAAACTATTTTTTGTTTATGCTATACTAATTAGTTACTTAACTTTCATCACTGCCTCTAGTGTGTAAATGGTGGTGGATTGTGGAATAATCTGTTTTATTCCTGCTGGAATCATGCCTATCCTTTCTTTACCAATATAATTCAACACTATAGAAGTCTCTTTCTCCAGAATGTTAAAATCCTGTGCCTTGCATGATTTTATGATTGGTTAATAGGAGGGTCAAGGCTTTTAAATGTTGTTTTCACAGGCCATCAGTTGTTAGGAATAGGGTGATTGAATATTCAAACTGTTTTCATAATTATAGGTCACAGAGAACTCTCTGTAAACATATCTAAAATGAAATAATTTGATAGTTTTTAAATATTTAGTAAATTAGATATTTCTTTAGAAATATTTAATTATTAAGATGAATATTATTGGTTGCTTGACACTGTGTTTATTTACAAATTGTTTGGACCACTGAGTGTACTGGGATACGTTAGGCATTGTTATTCTTTTACAGTTTATTGCTGATTCTGATTAGCTAACTTTCACTTATTTCACTGACCGATCTTGGTAACCCAAGAATAACTGCAACATTGACAACGATGAACATTAAATCTGAAGACACGTGTTAAAAGTTATGTAACAAGTGCGATGACTACATATACATTAAATGTGACTTCTTATCTATTCTATTCAATTCATTTTTATAATAATATGTACTGAATCAGCCTTGAAAACTTCAATATGATTCTTTAAAAAAAAGTTAAGTCTTGAATTTGTAACTTGTGTGTGAAACCTGATATAATGAAACTTCTAGTATTAAATTACAATTTGTTCTTGTTAGTAGGTAGCTTTAGGACTAGTTAACAGCTTAGTATGCATAATTGTCAATGTATTTTTTTAGAAATACTGAAGTCTGCACCGTGTGACTTGGAGATGGTAGATGTTGAAGACTTTTGTTTCTTGGCTCAATATTACATGTCACGGACACCTGTTTCCTTCACTAGGGTGAGTTGTTTTTCAAAATTTCATGGATTAATATTTTTATCTACATCTGTGAAACTTTTCAAAAATAGTATTGTCAAAATAAACATAAGGAAAATGAAAAATATTACAGTTAGAGAAAGTATTGAAATTGATGTTACAAGTGGTCTATTGTTTATACTTAATAAACTTCACGTGATACAGTGCTTTAAATTAAGGTTATTCAACTCTTATTAATCATTTATTTTACAGTAAATTACATTATTTATGCTTCTATAACTAGGCACGTAGCTTTGTTCTATTCTTTCTTAAAAGTCACAAATTTTTAGTCGGGTCAAATATTGTTATTTCTTTGATACACTTTATATCAACCAATTCTAATAGATATTAAGCTGATCCGATATCAGACGTATAGACAAGATTTTCTACAATGATGCACTATATTTGCTAGAATGAATGGAAATCAGGGATTACAGGTTTGAGTGTGTTATAACAATCTTGAACGTGCAAGTCAGCAAGCCACTTGTAAGGTTGAGGTGGAATATAATGTATAAGAACTAGATTATTGATATTGTTTGGCATTTCATAGGAAATGGGATGCCACTGAAAACTTGTTGTTTTTGGGAAAGGTGTGTAACAGCCATTTCCAAAGCAAAATATTCAAATACTCAAATCATAAAGATGTGTGTAGAACAGGGACTTAGAATTTTCAGAGCCTTTTGCAACAGAAACTGCACTGTGGGGCTATTGTCAAGATGCCCAGGTGACAGACAGAGCATAACTGAACATTTTAATATAGACTGTAATGATTTTTTGAGGCTCCAAAATCATTTTAACCCTCAGAATACAGATAGGTCAAAGTGTGCATGTCATGAATGTTTATAGAGTTATATTAAAAATTTAATTAAATTACTTTATTATAAATTTTGGCATCAAAACATATTTAATAATCCACATTTTGATGTTTTAATTTCTTAATTACAAAATGAAATATTTAAATAAATATTTAATCTTTACTTGGATGTGTCACATGACACTTGTTTGCTCCAAATTGCTTATTTTCAATTTTCTCATCACCCCCGTATGATATCACGAGTTTAATGTAAATTACACTTTTTATTGTATAACTAGTACTAAGGCACAGTGTGATTTTTTTCCATTTGTTTGTAAATATGTTTTTTTTTTGCCAGTTTTAAAGTACTGAATTAGTTCATGTTTCGAAAGAATATAAATCACACCTTCAATAATAATAATATGTTTATTTCAGTCTCTCTTTTTTTTCTAGGATTTTCATGATATTATTTTTAGTAATAGTTGTGATGAAAACGCAAAAGAAGCAAACTTATCGCAAGCTTTATGCCTTCCTGTGTCACCCTGGGAACTAGTTTTCAGTAGTAAGCCAAAACTTAATAAGGTAATTATCAGTAGCTTGTACGTTTGTAATAAATTTTGCTTATATACACGGTATGATCTAGAGTTGTCGATATCGATCCCCTAGGGGTCAGAAATGGCATCTAGGATAAGGTTGGCCTATGCAACTAACCGCCCCATGCCTGGCAGCAACAGCAAGTGAATGGCATTCATTTCTTTTTCTTGAATATTCCAAAGTGTATAAATTCACACAGTAATGAAAAATACATATTTTAAAAAGTTTCATTTATAATTTATATTCTAAGAACTTGGGGATCGACGACAATTTTGTAAGTTCATCGATGGGTCGACAACTCTAAATTGTTTGGGAAACTCTCATCTAGAGGTAATAAAAGGACTAGTTGTGTAGTTCATGGACCTCTAAGGGTGTGTAAGCATTCTAAAGAGGGTCTGTGGGGATAAAGATCGAGTTTCTATGTCACGGTTAAAAAAGAAATTATACTGTTTTTGATCAAATTAATGTTATTTTAAATTTCATTGACCTATATGTTTATGCCAGTACCACTTTTATACACTGTGGTATCAGCTTTTACAGATAGACCTATCTGAGTATGGTGGTCTGAGAGATTGTCTTTGGTTCATGAAGGGGATCCATGAGTGAAAAAACATTAAGAACCACTATTTAAAACAGTAATTCTCAAACTACCCACCTGAATTTATATATATGTACACATGGCCTGCTTTTCTATGAACCATCTTAAGGGAACTCATGGACCACAGGTTGCAAATTACTGTTCTATATCTTTACATCAATCTCTATCGAGATAACAGAGCATAAATTAAACATAAATGTGAATGAAATAATTCAACTGAAAGATGAAGTAAAAAATTAGATCACTGTATCATAGCTTTTAAGGTTATTGCCTGAATTATAATTGTTGTGACAATAAAATCTTGTTGTCATACCCAATAAAGTTATCAATAAAATAAAAAGTAGGCACAAAACTGAGCTATCTTTGTTAAATCTCAAATGCTTACTTCGGCATCTTAAAAACTCAAATGTACTTTACTCTCATTGTTAGAAAACTAAGATATTGCCTTTATTTTTCTAATAATAATCTTTAATCACAAAAGTTTTAATTCTGTAAACATAGTAGATCTCTTGAAAATAATATTCTAGGATTAGCAATGCTTGTAAAATATCTGTCCTCCTCACCTGCTAAATAAACTATCTGAAATACCATTTAAAAGTTGATACATGCACACGCTGATACAGGATTTTCATTCCCTTTTTTACTTTAAGATGTTCGCGACGTGATTTTTCTAATTATGCAATAGGAACGTAAAGCCTCATTGTGAACTCTGTTTTAAATACTGTTAATTTTATAACTTTATGTTATATTTTATGTCAGAATGACTGCATTGACAGCTTTCTCACGAGTGCATCACCGGATGTTCACGACGTCCCGACTTTACCCATTTAAGCTTTGGCGGTCATGTGTAATTTTAAAATAAAAAGTAATTAAATCGAGTAAATTTGTTTTATTTCAGTTGTCCTTTCAACATGGCATCCGTACTCCACCAGTGGTACGTGGTGGAGGGCGTGGCGTTATTATAGCTATCCGTACAAAATAAAAACTCACATATAGGACTTTGGAGATATGAGGTGTAGTTATATCTTATGGGTCCCGTGTACCACGGGTGGCTCAAGGTGTCCAAGAGAAGACATGCAAATGTGCCAACGGTGGCACACGATGTCGTGAACGTGTTAAGCAATAACATTTCCATAAAAGTAATTACCAGTGACTGTGGTAGGTTTGGTTTTTCAAGCACCATTCAAATTAAATTTCTAATATTCATTATAAATGTATATTGAAATTTGAGAATGATCAAATAAAGATTTAGTAAAAGTTTATTTCTCAATTCACAACAAGTAACATTACTTAGAGTGTGATTATAAATCATTGTTTTGTAAAGTGCTACAGCTAGTATTTTTTCTTTTAATCAGACTTTTAAAAACAAAATTTTTTCTTTTCCCTGTTTGAAGGACAATGCTTTGAAGTATTTTGTTGTGGACTGTCGCCCAGCAGAACAATATAACAGTGGACACTTGCCTAACGGATTTCACCTCGATTCAAGTCTAGTAAGAGATAATGCTGAAGACAATGTTTATGTATTTGTTTGATAACAGCTCTGTATAGTTTATATATATATATAATTCTCGTATCAGCTGTTCAGCAATGATGCTTGCTGCTTGTACAGACAAATTGCCCGAGTTTTTAGCTTTTTGATGTTCCTTATTTCTTTAGTTTAAAACCATCTATTACCTTTTCTCATGTGGTTTAGCCATCAGAAAAGTTTTCCTCACACCTTGCTAACAGTTGATTTTACTTGATCAGAAAGGGGCATCGGTAAGAGAGACCGAAACCTTTCTTCTGATAAAGTTTTATCATTGGATTATTAACATTTAATAGATTTTCTTCACTGGTCTCCAGATCATTTTACTGAACTAAAGAAAACTGCATCCAAGTTGGTTTATATAATTTTTGGCCATATGCATTAATACCTTTGAAAAATTGAAGTTTTCTTATTTCTTTCAGTTTAGAAAAATAATTTTGCTCTGTTTGTTTTCTATTTGTTGAGCTATAGCTTCTGATATAACCTTTCTCTTCAGGAAGTAATTTACATTAGTTAAACATTTGATGCTTTGCATGTTAAGGTGTTAAAAATTTGAGATCCTAAAAACTATCACATCTGAGGGACCTTTGCTGGCAGAATATTTCTAAACTATTAAATATGTGTTGCCAAAACTGATGTTCCATTAAAAATAGTGATACTACTTTCAGCTAACATCTTTCTATATCACGTTTTTCAAATAAAATTATCAAGACGTGATCATAGATAGACATTATAATATATATCTGGAAAAAGTAGATTGTGGAATTTATCCAGTTTTCTCTTGTAATTTTTCGTATATTCATATGATTATTAGAATTGTTTATTTCTTGAGGTGTATAACTTGTTATTTATTGTTTAATTATTTGTGGAACATTTGTTGTTTTCATTAATAAGCTATCTTCTCTTCATTGTTACATGAAATAAGTTTCAAGTTTGCATTTAAAAAAACAAACAATAATAAATAATTTCATCTCTCAAACCATAATCATTATAATATTGTAAGACATTTAAAAACATCTTAGATTTCCTTCAGTCTTTCACAGCTAAATTAGAGACAGCTAGCGCAGATAACCCTCGTGTAGCCTTGTGCGAAATAACAAAACAAACAGTCCTTTTAAGAATACAGTTTTAGTAAACTAATAAAACCTCTGTTTTCTAATTTATTTCTTTGTTCAGTGAAAGTTAATGATATGAAAGCTTATCAACATACTTTGAAGTTTTTTCTTTCGTAATCACATAATCGTCTATTTTTCATATATTTTCGTGAGGCTTACAATTCGTTCATGTACACTATTTAAACTTAGCTTCTATTTCACATGCCTATGCTTAATTTTATTCTATTTTTTTTTATGATAGATGCTACAAGAACCTGCATCTTAAGTTTATCCTATTTTTTTCATGATAGATGCTACAAGAACTTGCATCTTAAGTTTATTCTATTTTTTTCGTGATAGATGCTACAAGAACCTGCATCTTTCAACACAGCTGTACAAGCACTTTTTGCTGCCCAGAAACAGGCTATTAAGCTTGGCTCAGTGGCTGGAGGAGAACATGTTTGTTTCATGGGAAGTGGGAGAGAGGAAGAAGATCAGTACGTCCACATGGTCGTGGCCAGTTTTCTACAGAAGCAGCTTCCTTTTGTCAGCCTAGCCAAGGGAGGCTATGAAGGTGCATACTTGTTTGGAAAACCTGTGATTAATATTGTCAATTTCATAGTTTATATATTTGGAAGACAAGTATTGTCTTTTTTTTACTAGGTTGTTAGGCCATTGTTTACTTTAATAGTTTGTTCATTATCACCTAAAATTAAGTTGATTACAGAAAGTTACATTTATTGCCAGATAAACACAGTTCTGTATTTTTTAACAGATTTGTATGTGTGGTAAGCTTAATTTGCAGCATCTTTTCTTGACAAATAAAATTCAAATTTTAACTAAACCTTTTTTTCTGAGCTTTGTATTACTGTTATTACTATTCCTTTAATATATACGATTTAATGTGATTTTTTAACCTAATTAATCTATTATTAATCTAAATTGCTGCTCTTGTTATAAAACATTTTATTGTATCAAGAATTTTTATAACATATTTTGGTACAAATAATATAGTTTTTTTTTATATTTTTATGCCCATATACATAGAAACAAGTTATTATGTAAAGAGTCAGGTTTCTAAGTCAGTTAAGTAAAGATTTTTTTAACGTAAAAAAACATCTTTAACGGCTGGGTTTTCATAATAAAAGTAGGTTAATTATGGACTCCAACTCCTTGGAAACACTGATTCCTCTGGATGAGAGAGAGAGTTGGTTGGTAACAACGTTTCCTGTAACCCTCATATCCAGTCTTCAGGCCTGCTTATGTCAAGATGGTTAACATATACGTCACAACAAAGCAGACCCCGGTGACAGCTTGATTATGTTGATATCTATGAACGCATGGTCATCATTGAGAACTTCTTGGAGTGTGGGAGATGTGACACGGGGTCCTGTTGTTTTCTGAAAGTTTAATTCTTAAATACAACCCCCCCCCCCTAAGATAATAATTCATGGTAAAGCTGCTAAACAATTTCTACTGTAGACAAAATTGAACATGCCATAAATTGTTACTCAAACAAAGAAAATAACAGACTGATGAAGGCACAAAACTGCAATTACAGAGCAAACCTTTTTCCCACTATTAACTAGGACAATGACCAGTTTCTCAATAAAAAGAAAATGTAATGTAATGGAAAAGTCTTCTAGATAAACACAAACAAATTTGCAGGCTTTGGTATCACATTTTTAACTAACACCTTCAATAGTAAGTTTTCCCTTGTAAGAATTATATACACGAAGCATGCTGTCAGACAACAGCTTAGCCCTAAATTGCAGCCACACTCGAGGATGCCCTAAATGATGCCTGTGCACTTCATCAAGATCAATTAAGGTCTGTGTTGTTGCATCATCATCATCAAGCTCTTACTGGAGCCTTCAATGGGATGACTAATACCCAAACTATCTTGATACTGAAGATGAGTTTAAAAAGTTACATCGATGCCTACACGAGTAGTAAGGTGATGGTATTGTTACCGTATTGTGATAAAACCATAAAAACTTGATTAAATTTGTATAAGTTAATATGTGTACAGATTATAGAGTTAATTGCAAGAAACTTTAAAAAAAAAGTTTTGAAGATTTTGTCTTTTCATCCTTGCTGTAAATTTTGATAATAATTTCACAGTTCAGTTTTGGTAAGATAGTCATTGAACAAAAAATACAAGTTTATTTTGGAAATATTTTAACAAATGTCAACTTTGTGATGCTTATTAATAATAATAAAAAAATAATTTCTAGACTACCAACATGGTCTCAACTTAATTTTTTAAGCAAATATAACCATATTAAAATAAAAACACATTTATTAGATGTCACAAGTTTAATCTTTTGAAACAGTAAAGTAGTTTTTCTTCTTTATCCAAGATATTGTTGAAATAAATAAAACAAAAGGCATGAAATAAAGTTCTGATTAAACTGTTTAAACCACTGAACTAATAGTTTTTTTGGATTTCAATTGAATGTGTTTTATTTCAGCTCTACACAATTTTATGTTAGACAGTTTGAATAGTGGCCTCACAGACCATTGCTCGAAATCATGTATCATCTGTACCCCAGCTGTGCATGAGAATAATGGTGCAAATGGTACTGAGAATGAAGATTTCTCATTTCTAGACAAGGTAAGATATTCTAACTTTGACATCAAGGAAACGTTTAAAATGTGCTCTTTAAAGTTCTGTCTAATTCATTTTATTACTAATAAGAACAACTAGAGCGTAAGATTGTAAGTTAAGTAGGTTTCTCTTTTACTGGGGGTTATCGTCACCCCTGAAATAAAGGTATAATTTTTAACTTTTTGGTTATTTCTGCCTATTTGTAAGCGTCTAATTTTTATTTCATCCATTGCTATTCCATTGACTCAAATGTTGATGAAGTTCCTAACAGATTTTGATTTCAAACTTAGAAATTATTGTCCAAAATGTTTTTATGTGAATTACAAATCAAGTTGTTTAGCAGCATTAAAGATTTTTTACCCTAACCTTTTGCTATTGGAATAGCTTTACACAGTCAGTTAATAGAACTGATATACTTCCTACAATAAAATTTTGTTGTTTTTTTTCCTCCTTCTTCTTCTTCAAATTAAAGATTTTTTTTATGTTGAATGAAAAGCTTCCGGAGCTGTGATCTGTGGGAGACAGAAGATAGATCTGAAATACTGTTTTCTACACACTACTATTTTAAAATGTCCAATATATAAATTGTGAGGAATATGAAAAAAAAGCATATTCTGTTTACTGTTATTAATAATTCAAACATTAGGCCTATTGTTTTAAAAGTTGTTGGTATTCAAAAGAAGTTAATGTGAAACCTTTTTTTTTTTTCATTATTATAATTATTATAGTTTAATTAGTGAGTACAAACTTTAAACTATAACAGTTTAAGTACCAAACCTAACTTGTTTTTACAAACTTGACTGCGGGTAATGATCACTTTTTAAATACATTGCACTTCTTAATCCTTCGACAGAGGTGCATCCACATTTTTCAACTAATTTTGCACTAAGCCTAACTTGAGTGCAAGGATGATTACTTTTTAAATACATTGCACCTCTTAATCCTTCGACAGAGGTGCATCCACATTTTTCAACTAATTTTGCATTAAGCCTAACTTGAGTGCAAGGATGATTACTTTTTAAATACATTGCATCTCGTAATCCTAATGGGATGTAACAACATTTTCTAACTGATTTTAAGCACACAGATATTCCAGTTTTGTAGTCCTAGAGCAAGGTGAATTTTGTAAATCTTTAAACCTCAGTTGGAAATTTTTTATTCATAACTTTTATAAAAATATTGTCAAAGTCAAAGATTAGTTGTTTCAAAGTCCAATCTAAGAAACTTCAGTATTTCAAAATATGAAAATATGGCAAGTCATTGGTTGTTTAAGTGCTTTACTTATAGCAGTTTTTTAGGTTTAAGGTCACTAGATGAGTATTTGGCATATGGGAAGGTACAAATTGGAAAATTACATTGCACCAAACCTTTCTTAAGTCTGTTGTGCTCAAATGACAAAGAACTTATTTATGAAAAACAAACTTTAATAATTAGACATAAGTTTATCCAAACCAAACATATTGCTGGTAGAATATCATGTTACCGCACCTAACTTTAGGTAATAGTGTTACCATTTTGAAAGGTGGGGTCATTGTTCATCGATGAATCTTTGAGTCAGTCATATCGTGTTTGTCTGATTTATAGCAAGAAGTCGACTGCTTAAGTCAGCAAAATATAATATCACAAGAAATGTACTGATGAAAACCAAACAAAGTTAAAATTAATTGAACTTGTATAACAGAAAATTTTAATTAACATTAAAGAAAATTGAAAGTCTAAGGTGAAAGTGGTTTTTTTTTTTCTTTTCAAAACAGTGTTTCATAAAAAAATGTTTGATATTTCATAACCTATGAAATTATACGATTAGAAAAACAAATTATTATTATAAGAAATTAGACATTATTTAAAGACTGGAAAGTTTTGTTAAGTGTTTTTACTGTGGGAATAAAAACTAACAGGAGATATCAGTTATATCCCAACTGTCTAGAAAGGGTTAAAAGAATATCTTTCACACAGATCACTACATTGATGAAATCCAAATCGGCGGTTGTGCGAGAGAAACTTGTGGACTACATCACCAACCCACCACAGTCTGCCGAAAGGTAAGCAGAAAAAGTATTGCTTTTAATGTTACGCATGAGGAAACATTTCTTCCAGCTTAACAAGATATACTATTGAATTTTAGTGTCATCACACTATAAAAAGTATTTAGTTGTCTTTTTTACAAATAACTAGCATATAACCAGTCAAAAATGATGGGGCAAGTACTACCAACTCTTCCCATAGTATACCCTAACCTCGCACTTCACAGTTAACTGAAATAAATAAATTTTGCACATCAAGCTTGACCAACAAAGAGACAGAAATGTGCAGTCTTAATGTCGGTGCTACACGAAACAATTAATATAAAAAAAATCATAAAATTTGTAATAAGCCCTATCTAAGCTTTCCACATACATGTACGTACTACTCTCCTCACTTATAGACTCACCCTCTACTTACATAGACTCGCCAGTATTTTCTTCCCTTCAAATTGACAAAAAATTATACCACATATTCTTCAATCGTGCCAGAAAGGACAACTGTGTCCTTCGCATTAAGGATAAGTGTTAAAACATGAATTTTTGTCACTAGGTTTTTATCTTTTTTTAAAAATTAGACCTGGGTTTGTAATTTAAGAAAATTAAATAAAAAGTGGTATGCGAGTCTGAAATGTTTGAGAACCACTGCCCTAGAGGCTGTTCATGCAGAGAGAATACTGACTATCATGAAATGACTTATTTTAACTAAAAATACTGAAACGTTTTTGTCCGGCAGTGAAGAACAAAGAATGTAATCTAACCTACATAAAAGCCAGTGTGTGTCACAAATTCATTTCATGGATGAGCTAAATTTTGATTGGCTCACAAAGGAATTTACCGACACTCTTAAAAACTCTGATTTTTTTGGTCTCTTAATGCTTCCTGAAAGCTTGCAAAATTTTGTGAAGATACAAAAAATATTTTAGAAGTTATAGTATGGAAACTCTAAAGGTCAATTTGGGGTCAACTGTTATGTCGAATCAACTAAGCTCATCGCAAGAAAGTTAAATGGTAAAGAACAAAGATATTTGTATATTTTATGTGTTGCAGATAAGCATATTTTAATAGTACTGAAAATAATTTAATACTTTTACCTGCTTTGATGGACAATTGCCTGTCCAAAAGATGATTTCACGGGTCATTGGCAAAAAGCCTGACTACAAGTCAAGTTTTTATAACCCCAATGATTTATCACTGGCACTTGTAAACAACAGTCTAATACTGGCAATGAACTCCTCTAGAAACTCTTTAGTCAAATGGAACTTCAACTTGTTAGATTTAGACCACCCTAGAACAGAGAATCTCAAATTTTGGTATGCATACTAGTGGTGGTATGTGGAGTTGAAGTAATTTCACAACAAATTACTCCATGAATATATCGATTCAAAGTGTTGACTGCTCCAAGTGCAGAGCGATTCCCATGTTAAGATTAAAAATACTTTCCTTCATCTGAAAATTCTCAGATTTCATTTTCATAATCTCTAAAACCTCCTAAATAAATTTCAAACGTTTTTTTGTAAAGTAAAATCCTATATTTCATCTGTTATTTTCTCTACCCTAACACTGTACAAGGTTGGTCATTTTGACCAACTTTGTAACCACCAAAAAAAAAATCGAAATAAATCTACATTTTTTCTTTCTGTAATTGTAAAATAAAACTACATTTATTTATTCTCAATAGCTTTAAGCTCGTAATAATAGACATCTATTTGTACTTAAATTTTATTGGTTTATTGCCCTTTGAATTGTGTCAAACTAATAATCCCACCACACAAGTTGTAAGTTATTTGGTGAGCGTATCTTGGGAAATTTTTTTATTATCATTATTATTTATTTTACCTAATCTAACTTAAAAAGTTTATAATTGTTACATTTTAGTTACTTTTATAATAATAAATAAAGAATACCTACGAAAAAAAAGAAATATAGTACTGGGTCAACTATCAATACTACTGCTCTAAATAATGCACCAAGGAACACAGAATAATAATATACAAAAATTTGACAGTATTCTGTATCTGTCACAATTTCGCTGGCTTTTCTAATTATGCGACCAAAGTTGATCAATGTGTTTCGTGTAGGAATAAAGTTTGAATTGGAAGCAAAATAGATAATTCTCTGTACAGTAAACAATGTAATATAATATATATATCATTTGATAGCTTAAAACTTTGGCTCTCCGTTGTTGATAAATAATATAGTATTAAACATCAGA